GTAAATAGAACTGCAGTGAACATTTTGGTACATGACTCTTTTTGAATTGTGGTTTTCTCAGGGTATATACCCAGTAGTGGGATTGCCGGGTCATATTGTAGTTCTATTTGTAGTTTTTTAAGGAACCTCCATAGTGTTCTCCATAGTGGCTATATCAATTTATATTCCCACCAACAGTGCAAGAGTGTTCCCTTTTCTCCACACCCTCTCCAGCATTTATTGTTTCTAGATTTTTTGATGATGGCCATTCTGACTGGTGTGAGATGATATCTCATTGTAGTTTTGATTTGCATTTCTCTAATGATTAGTGATGTTGAGCATTCTTTCATGTGTTTGTTGGCAATCTGTATATCTTCTTTGGAGGAATGTCTATATAGGTCTTCTGCCCATTTTTGGATTGGGTTGTTTGTTTTTTTGTTATTAAGCTGCATGAGCTGCTTATAATTTTGGAGATTAATCCTTAGTCAGTTGCTTCATTTGCAAATATTTTCTCCCATTCTGAGGGTTGTCTTGTGGTCTTGTTTATCATTTCCTTTGCTGTACAAAAGCTTTGAAGTTGCTTTAGGGTCATCATATAACCAATATTTGTGAATGTTTTATGCAAGCTTGAAAAGAATATGTATTCTTTGTGAGTCTAGTTTTGCATCTACACATATTATGTTGTTTGCTAATTATATTAGTCAAAACTGTTGCATCCTTACTATTTTCTTGTTTATTTAATTTGCCACTGTTATTTTTGGTATATCTGCTCATTTTTACTTTATTCTGAAGCTATGATGCTAGGCACATACATACTTACTATTCTTATAACATCGGTGTCTTTTTTACTGTGGAGTATCCCTCTTTATTTTTAATTGTTTTCTGCAAGAGGATTGGTTAAAATTACTTAGTTCACCATTTTGGGGACAAAATAGATGTGAACTTTGCTGGAAAGACACATCTCCTTCTCTCAGGGAGTGTACTGTAAAGAGGAGGCAGTCTGATAAAAGACACTTACAGTACAGTCTTGAAGCACTGAGGTAAAGCATGGCCTGTGTGGTAGCCCACAGCGGGCTACTTAAAACAGACGTAGTTGACAAGGAAGGCTCCCAGAGGAGGTGGCCTCTGAGCTGAGTTTGCTCTTGTTTGGGGACTCGGTTTAGGTGGCTCAGCTCTCAAGTGTGGCAAGGAAACCGGGGCACAGGTGGCGGGGAAGGAAGGGGTTCTAAATGCACAAAGCTGTTCCCAATCATTTGCTATTTCAAGGAGTTTTCCGATGTCCGCTGTTGTAAATAGGTAGCACTGCAGTGGAGAACTTTGAGCATGAACCCTTGCCTGTGTTCTATACTATTTCTTTAGGACAAGTTCCTCGAAGAAGACTTACTGCAGCAAGAGGTGCGGACATTTTTATGCACAAAAGGGGGCATCTAGCTCTAGGTCATAGGAGGGTTTTAGAAATAAATTATAGTGGAGCCAAGTTTTGAGGGATGATTAGGAGTTAGACAGGATGAAAGTAGGCATATAAAAGCCTGGGGAATCTCACGGGCACAGAGGAGGGTGGAGGTAAATAATTCAGGGTGGGCTGGCTTAGTCACAAGCTGTGGGGAGTCGTGCTAAAAGAGTGGACTTAAATGTAAACTAGGTTTATATTTGATTCCATCAAAGAAGTTCAGTTAATAAAATCGTATAAAGTCCTTTAACCTTTTTCTTACCTTTGAAGTTCATGGAATCCATTTGTACCATATTCCTCAAATCATTATAACCGTTATCTTTTATATACCAGAACTTATTTTCCTTCCATCTCCCCAGGTGATTTTAGCATCTGGAACGTATTCTGTTTCCCCTCCGTTGCCCACCATCATCCTAAGTTGTGACAACTTCCGTTTACTTCTTTCCTATTCCGCTACGTCCATGTGTCCTCGGATGGGACTTATAAGTCTCAGCCTAGCTTCCCCACTTTTTAGCTGTGTAATTTCTGACAGGTTTTTTAACCTCTCTCTGTCTCCGTTTCCTTGTGAGAGCCTCAACAATATCCTTCACAGGGTTGTGATAATTGAATGAAATCACATATGCAAAAACACCTGGCTTGTCTCGGCAGCATGAGACAAGGATTTCCCCTCCGTCGTGAGTATCTGCATTCATCCAGGTTGAAATGCCTTTTGTTACAGTTGAGAGCAGCTTGAAGCAGCTTTAAAAAGGGAAATCAGAGAAGAACTGCATGATCCCATGAGCCTTCTCTTAGCGGTGGCTCCTCTCATTTAGGGGCAAAGCCCAAGCTGGTGAGAGCACCTCACCTTTCTTTGAGCGCTAGATTTGAGCATAAAATGAGGAGTCCGGACTTTAAGGCTTTCCCTTTACCAGCTTTCACACATTTGAGAAGCACTGCGTTTTCATGTTAAAATAGTATCTGTTTCCTTCTCTTAGGTCACTCTTGCCTTCTTTCTGCTCCGTCCCTATTCTCCATCTTTCCCTTCCCCCACATCACAAAAAAGAATACAAACTTTGGTCATTTCAGATACCAAAAGATCACGGCAGGCTGACTAATTTTGCATAGACTTTCTGTGAAAGCTCCACATGTGCTGCCGTTTTGGGTTGCATAATTGATTTAATCTCTGATTTTAGAGGAACACTGAACTCTTTTCGTGGGACTCTGCGTACATTTCTCTAGGGCAAAAACTGTCCTACTTTTTTTCTCTCTGGTATCTGTTTAGTGCTAGACCATTTTCCCCCAAGAATCTAAACTACCCTCCGTGAAATAAATGAAATCACAGTTGGAAAACGGCTTACTGGCCAGATAAGAGCTATACCACGCACATATTCTTCACATTCTCCTCCTTCCCACATCCCTTCTTTCTGCTCTCGCACATCTTTGTTTTGGCTAAGAGGATGTGTTAGTCACTCAGCTGAGGATTGACGTTCCCTACGTGGAGCCTCTGTGTACCTTATCGTTTTATTGGGAAAGCACACGCTGTGGGGTCCAATCCTTGCATGCCCGTTGGCCTACTGTGTGACTCCAGGGAAATTTACTTACCCCTCTGAGTCTTACTTTCAACAGTCCCTGTAGACCAATGGTTGTGCAGGCTGAACTCTAGAGCTAGGTATGTAGCAAGCTGGAAACTCACACCGAGCCTTTGGCTAACCAGGTATATATATGGGGTGCCAACTGGGGAAAATGATTTTATGCCCCTGAAAGACCACTTAGCCAAAAGCACAACCAGGCAATTTTAAGTTTCCATTTACTTCATTTTACCATATTTGGCAACCTCATTTTACCATATTTGGCAACCTCATTTTGGGTTATGTTTTCAGGAATTTCTAAGTGGAAAGGCATGTTTGATAGCAGAGTGTTTTGTCAACTTCTCCAATCCAGTATATAGTTTGGAAACAATCTTCTCACTAGTTGCTTCTTAAAAAATCTAATGCTTTGTAATATTTTATGTACTCTAAGATATATTTTCTGAAGAAAATAATCTTTGCCAGGTCCGTACTCAGAAACACAATTTTAGTAATTTCCCCAAATTATTCTCATACTGTGAAAGTGACCAAAGTCTGCTGTTTACATCAGCAGATTAAGGTCAAAAGTAATTCCCAACTGCTATTTGAGTATCACAGCTTGAAGGTTGTGTCCTTTTACTGCTAAAAGAATTTAGGCTTAGATAATAACCTATTACTTGTTTAATAGAACACAGCATAAACAGACCATTGTTCAAATTCAGACTGATACTTACTAGTTGGATAAATTTGGACGAGTCCCTTAACCCCTTAGCCTCATTCTATATGAATATTTAACACTGAGATAAGAATCATATTTACTTCTCAAGAGTGTTGTGAAGATTTTTTTTTTTTAAATGCCAGGGGAATGGGTGCAGTAGATTTATGGTAATCAGTATTTTTTTTTTTTTTTTTTTGGTATGTGGGCCTCTCACTGTTGTGGCCTCTCCTGTTGTGGAGCACAGGCTCGGGACACGCAGGCTCAGCGGCCATGGCTCACGGGCCCAGCCGCTCCGTGGCATGTGGGATCCTCCCGGACCGGGGCATGAACCCGTGTCCCCTGCATCGGCAGGCGGACTCTCAACCACTGTGCCACCAGGGAAGCCCCAGTATATTTTTTTTAATTTATTTATTTATGGCTGTGTTGGGTCTTCGTTTCTGTGCGAGGGCTTTCTGTAGTTGTGGCAAGCGGGGGCCACTCTTCATTGCGGTGCACGGGCCTCTCACTATCGCAGACTCTTTTGTTGCGGAGCACAGGCTCCAGATGCACAGGCTCAGTAATTGTGGCCCACGGGCCCAGTTGCTCCGCGGCATGTGGGATCTTCCCAGACCAGGGCTCGAACCTGTGTCCCCTGCATTGGCAGGCAGACGCTCAACCACTGCGCCACCCGGAAAGCCCCTGTTGTGAAGATTTAATGCTAAAATACATGTAGAGCAATGTGGGGATCCAGCGGTAGACAGTGTATCAATCAGGTTTTGCTGTAATAATGTTGTGTAACAAAGAATCACCAAGTCTCAGTGGCTCACAACAACAAATATTGATGCAGACTTGATTTGACTTGGTTCCAGCTCATGGGTTCTATTCGGGTCTGCTGTGTACGTCTCTTCATCCAGGCCCTAGAGGTTATTTAAGAAATTCTCCTTTCATGGCAGGGAACATTATTGCAAGTGATCTGGTGAAACTTGCCAAGCATTTTAAAGCGTCAACTCAGAATTGGCATTACTGTCACTTCTACCTGAATTTCATTGGGCAAAACAAGTCCTGTGTCCAGGCTCAGTATTAATAGGTCAGGAAAGTATACTCTGCCCTAAGAAGAGTGAATATTTGCTGAACAATAATCCAATCTCCCTCAGAGAAGTTTACTGCATCTCATTTTTCCACCTTTTCTTTTTTCATCTATGAACACTGGCTTTTCTCCATCTAGTCTACTTTATAACATCTACTTTGCATTCTCAAAATTACATCACAATTTCCCTCTCCCTCCTTAAATTTCAAATTAATTTACATGATATACTTTTCTTGTAAACAGGTACTTTAGAAAATCCCTTAGAAAAAGAAAAAAAGCTCCTGATTCTCCTTAGAGCTTCAGAGGGAGTCTTTTGTGACCGTTTCATCGGAATTCGTATTGATCCAGGAACAATTGGTAAGAGTAAAGTGCAGCTTTATTAAAAATGAAATGTGTGTGTGTTTCTGATAGGGAAGTACCATTCATAGAACACCTACTAAATCCCAGGCACTCTTCTAGAGAATTTATTATTTCACTTACCAGCTCTCCTGTAAGGAGTATACATTTTACAGATGTCAAAACTAAGCCTCAGAGATGGTGAACAATATGCAGAAAGCCACACAGTTTTATACTGTCAGAACTTAGATTCATATCCAGATTGGTCACACACCAAAGGCTGGATGAAGAGTCTGTGTTATCAACTTTAAATACTATGTGGTTATTGATATATTTTTTAAACTGATAGCTCTATAGATTACTAAGAAACATTTACTGTTGGCAGTTTCTTCCTTTGATACTGCCACAATACCAAATCCTGTTTTATTTTATTATTTTTTTAATGTTTATTTATTCATTTATTTATTTATTATTAGTCATCCATTTTATACATATCAGTGTATACAGGTTAATCCCAATCTCCCAATTCAAATCCTGTTATAAAGCACAGAAGAGCACAGAAACTAGGACTGGACTTGTATAACTATGATGTAAGGGCCACTCAAAAACTTACTTTTAAGGGAAAGGTATAAGAGGCTTTTTATAGCTTTCTAGCATTTTAAAATTCTCTTTGTATGGTAATCCTAGTTTTATAAGATTTCAGTGACTCAGTAAAAACAATCATGTTAGGATAGTTTGAAGTTTGGTAACCTGGTTTCATAAAGTATAGCCATTGCCGTATAATACTTTGATAGTGCTTTATTGTTTTCAAATGATTTTTCATATATGCTATTTATTTTATCTTTTTAAGAATATGAGGTTAAGGAATATTTTACTTTTTTCAAATTGACAAGCTAGATGGATCACAACAGGAGCATGGACTCTTTTTGCCTGTGGTGTCCACTCTGTTCCAGGGAGTGCCACGTTGAACTGGACTTTGTGTTAGGAGCATATGAGGGTACCTGTCTTGATCCCCATGCCAGCTATATTGCCAAACAAGTGTTTCTAAAAATTTCTCTGATACTAAATTGAAAAAGGAATGAAATGTTTGTCACTGCATGCTTAAAATTTGGTGATATCATAAGTAAATAACATATTTTAATCTCTTCAAGTATTATAAGCTCCTTGAAACAACTAGGAAATGGTGTCATTTTACAGTTAACCTTTGGTGATTGGGAATGATCAGGAAATCTGCTTTCTGGTAAATGGAAGGAAATAAACTGGTTTTTGTTAAAATCTTTGTAGGTAGAAATTTCTCTAAATTATTCCATGTTACTTTCCTGTCTAGCTTACTTAGCTAATAGTGATTAATTTTTTGATGATGATGATGATATTATTATTATGAAAGATTGATTCCAGGTCCTGTCCTAAAAGTGGGAGTATTTTTTCCATTTCCACTAATCCTTATTTTAGTTTTATTATCTTCTGAATTTTTGCTGAATTAGAGTATGGTAAAATCATGGATGTTGACTTAAACACTTGGTTAGTTTCTAATTAACTGAGCTTTTTTAGTTCACATTGGATGAAAACCCAAGGCATATTATTTGTACCTTACTGGTTTTTACTTCCCTTACACATTTTCTGCTAAAATTTGTGAAATCTTTAGATTTCAAGATTAGTGATTTGCAATAAAATGGGGGTGCACTAATCCAGGAGTATGAAGACAATCAATCCATTTGGGTGCAGGAAGAAAATATTAGAACTTTCATTCAAACATGTATGAATATATTCATTTGTATGTATGGTTATTTATCTACAAACAAATAGACATGTGTTAGGTGTGCATGATCATAATTTTGTTACTGCTTGGGTTCATGCTCAAAACATGTTTAGACCACTAGAATATGAGGAATTTTGCTTCATGTGATTTTAAATGGCAATAAAATGTGTAAGAGGAAATACCTGAAGGAATAAAACTGGACTGCATCAAGCATGTCCCTGGTAAGACTTTAATTTATGAGTCTGAAATAAATTATATTTTGAACAAATGAGCTAGACATTTATCCTTTGATATCTGTAATACAAAAATATCTGAGATCCAGCTATGGAAAACAAAGCTAATAGCAGCAAATCTCTTTCCCCAGGAAACAAAATTACCTTGCCTTTGGAAAGTCTACTGTATAACACAAAATATCAAAACCAGTTAACTTCCAACAGAATTGCAAACGGTTTGGAGTGACTTACTGGTAGAAATATAACTAGTTAGCTGGGAATAGACCATTAGAGTGGTCTGTTTCCCAGCTCTTGGATTACTAGATGTGGTGTAGCATTCATTTCTCTATAGCTTTTGAGAGAATAAAAATGTTTCATAGCCAAGTGAGATGTTAAGTGTTCTTTTTCTGATAAGGTGGACATCTTCATATATAGTTTCTATATCATGTATCTTGCACAATAAGCTCTCTAATGAGTTTTGCTTATGTGGCCTTAATTTCTTGGAAGGATTTTCCTATCCAACTGTTGCTCCTTTTATTTTCAGGGGTGTTTGGGAAACTTCAGCTTCATAGTGCTTATCCTAAGAAATCCTGGACACATCTTGGGGCTGACATTGCCTCAGGCAATGAGAGGTAAGGAATGAGAGTAACTTAGGGATGTAGCTTTTGGTTTGGTTTGCTTCTGCTGGAGGTTTTGTTACAATATGAAATTAAATTTTAGATTAAGGATCATAAGTTAAGGATGAATAAATAGAAAAATAAAAGGCTAGAAGGAATTTAAAATATTCTCTGTCACATAATGGAGGAAGAACAAAACAAGCTAAAGGCAGGGGGGATATAATTTATTTAAGGAGTAAATTTTAGATCATACATGTTTTCTGCTGCCAATAAATCTTTAAAAATATGAATTCTATGAGATAATAGATGAAATATAAGGAGGGACCGCAATGTCTGAATTGAAATGATAGGTGGTGAAGAGATAGATAGAAATGAAATAAGAGTGAGATGAAGCACATAAAGAATCTTACGGAATTTAAATTGCAGTAATAGAATTTAATAATGCATTGGAGGCAGTAAAGAATGAAATCACTACTGTGTCAAAGTGAGCAGGCAACATGAAGAAATTGATGGAGTCTACATGAATGAAGAAGACAAAATCAAGAGATAAAAATAATAAAAGAGAAGGTATTAGAAATAGAGAACAGAAAATAAAAGCGCATTTTGATAACTGCTCTTTTTAATGAGTCCAGAATAATGACAACACAAAGAATAACTAAAACTTAACTAAAATACACATAACAGACCTGGGATTATTTCTATTTAATTTGAATAACATCGAGAATAATGATAGATACATATCCTCACAGTACAAGAAAAAAAAGTGAAAAAGTAAAAGAAAAACAAAAAGGGACATAAAGCTTGATAACATTAGAATTTTCTGCAATATCAAATGTAGGAAGATAGTGGTGCAAAATCTAGAAATGTTCAGGGGAAAAAAGATTATAAGCAAAGGCCTGGCTTGTAAACATAGACCCTGCTAAAATGCTGTTCACATGTGAATGCAAACAAAAGATTTCTTTTGCTTTGCAAGAACTGAAAAAAATTCAAAAATGTGTTATAATAAAGAGATTAAACTGAGTCTAAAATTTAAGAATACAAATAGAATTCAGGAATTGTATAAAGGTAGACAAAGTATAGATATCAAAGGCAAGCATTGGAATAAGTTAAATATAATACTGTAACTATGGTTATTAAAATAAGACAAATTCTAATTGCTCTTATAAAAGAAACTATATAAAATCTGAAAGTTAATGTATTAGTCAGAGTTCTGTTTCTATAAAATATATATAATAGTAGATTATATGTGTATGTATGTGTATGTGTATATATATATTATATACAGTATATGTTATATATAAAGAGATATGTTTCAAGGAATTAGCTCATATGCTTAGGAGAGCTATAAGTTCAAAATTTTGTAGGGCAGGCTGCCAGGGTGCAAAGACTTGAGCAGGATCTGATACTGTAATCTTGAAGTAGAATTTCTTCTTTTTCAGGGAAACTTCAATTTTGCTTTAAGGTCTTCCAACTGATTGATGAGGCCCACCCACATTATTGAGGGCCATTTCCTTCACTTAAAGTCACCTGACTGTAGATGTTAACCACATTTGCAAAATACCTTCACAACAACAGTAAGCTTCCTGTTTGATCGAATACCTGGCTACTATAGCCTAGTCAAGGTGACACATAAACTAACCATCACAGGTTATAATTCTCAAATAAAAATCTAGGTTTGAAATTGGGGACTATAGCCACAGGAAACTGGAGATGGAACATAAGAGAGCCATAGGATGTAAATATGTAAATAAGAGTTAATTCTAACAGAATTAAAAATAGGACATATAGGTCTTCCCTGGTGGCGTAGTGGTTGGGAGTCTGCCTGCCAATGCAGGGGACGCGGGTTCGTGCCCCGGTCCAGGAGGATCCCACATGCCGTGGAGTGGCTGAGCCTGTGAGCCATGGCCACTGAGCCTGTGTGTCCGGAGCCCGTGCTCCGCGACGGGAGAGGCCACAGCAGTGAGAAGTCCACGTACCGCAAAATAAATAAATAAATAAATAAATAAATAAATAAATAAAATAAGACATATACCTTCCCAATCACCAGAGAGAAAAAAGAACGAAAGAAACTATAAAATAAAGGGTGAAATACAGAGAAGACCATGAAATAGTGATAACTAAAACAACAAAAAAGGTACAAAATGACAATAAAAGTAAGAAAGTAAGAATAAATCTGCCAATTATAAAAAGAAAATATGCTTGTTAAAAATGACCCTATATAAAAAAAAAAATGACCCTATATAGAAAAAAAATTAGTAATGAATAAAAATGTAATCATAACTTTTTTTATCAGAGGAAAACAAACAAGTTCAGAAAAATGTTTAGTTAAATATTGGACAAAATGAATCCTTAAAATAAAAATAAAATGGAAGCAAGGACTTCAAAATTATTCACAAGAAAAGTAAAAAATCAAAATAAATACATTTTATATTAATAAAGACTTCAATCTTCAGTGAGACCCCAGTAGTAAGGAAAGTTTTATACCAGATAACATAATATAGAAATATATAAAGTAAATCGGTAAAAAATACGAGAGGAAATTAACAGAAACAAAAGTAATGAAAGTAATAAAATTTACGTACCTCTTTCAGTTTTTAACCTTTAGATTAAAATTATAAAGAAAATATTAAGAAATATAACCAATATAATAAAGGCAATTTAATTTGTATATATGTATATCTTTACTCCAATATATATAATTAAAAACCTTAATGAATTTTAATAAACAGAAATTATATATTGATACAATATAATCACAATAAAATAAACATGGAGATTAAAATAAAAGTTTAGCCAACAACCTTAATCTCTTGCAAGATGGAAGAAAAAAAAGATAAACGCTCTCCTACATAACTTTTGTATCTAAGAGGAGATCAAACCTTTATCAATAGACTACTTGGAAAATAACAGTAATGAGAGTATTACATGAGAGATGGCCGTACGTGTCATCACATTAAATGCTTTCATTGTTGAATGAGAAAGTACAAAATAAACTAAGTTGTCAATGTAAGAAATCAGAAAGAAAATAACCAACAAATCTAATGAAATCAATCTGTACCTGATAAAGGCAGAAATTGATGAATTACAAAGTAGGAAATTAATAGACTTGATTTTTTTTAGAGGTACTGGTTTAATCTCTAATAACTAACCATACAAAGAGAACAAAATGTAATTCAGAAATGGGGATTCAACTATAATAGATATCAAAGAGATTAAAATTGTAATCTAAAAATGTATATATCTATATAGTGTCATTCTGAAATTAAAAAATTATATATAGAAATATAAATGATTGGGACTTCCCTCATGGTGCAGTGGTTAAGAATCCACCTGCCAATGCAGGGGACACAGGTTCGAGCCCTGGTCTGGAAAGATCCCACATGCCACGGAGCAACTAAGCCCATGCACCACAGCTACTGAGCCTGTGCTCTAGAGCCTGTGAGCCACAGCTACTGAGCCCACGTACCACAACTACTGAAGCCGGCATGCCTAGAACCCATGCTCCACAACAAGAGAAGCCACCACAGTGAGAAGCCCATGCACCACAACGAAGAGGAGCCCCCATTCGCCGCAACTAGAGAAAGCCCGCGCACAACAACAAAGACCCAACACAGCCAAAAATAAATAAATAAATGAATAAATTTTAAAAAAAGAAATATAAATGATCATAATCAGCTAAAGAAGAATAAAACTGAAAGAACCAATAACAGCAAGACAAAGTTATCACAAATTTATTCCCAAGAATACATTTGGCTCAAGTAAATTTATGTCATGTTTTTCTAGCCATTCACTTAGTCATCAGACACTTACTGTGTTGTACAATCTATTCCATAGCATAGGAAAATATGTGAAGCTTTCCAATTTGTTTTAGCAAGCAAGATAAAGTAATTTATAAAACAGCTGCTAAAGGTAACTCAAAAAAAGAAAACTAAGGCAACATCCAAGCCATATCCTAAATAAAACAGCAACAAATGAAATCCAGTAATTTATTTTTTAAAAAAAGAGTATGATTTATTCAAGTGAAGGATGGTTCAAAATGAAATAATTAATATAATTTACCTAAACAAAAAATATAAAGACTAAGAATGTTCAGTTTGATACAAAACAGAAATGCATTTAGTAAAGTTCAGCTTGCATTCTTGGAATAAACAGTAAATTAAGACTATAAGGATACTTTTTCTTCTAAAAATAGAGCTACCATACGACCCAGCAATCCCACAACTAGGCATATACCCTGAGAAAACCATAATTCAAAAAGAGTCATGTACCAAAATGTTCACTGCAGCTCTATTTACAATAGCCAGGACATGGAAGCAGTGTAAGTGTCCATCAACAGATGAATGGATAAAGAAGATGTGGCACATATATACAATGGAATATTACTCAGACATTAAAAAAAAAGAAATTGAGTTATTTGTAGTGAGGTGGATGGACCTAGAGTCTATCATACAGAATGAAGTAAGTCAGAAAGAGAAAAACAAATACCGTATGCTAACACATATATATGGAATCTAAAAAAAAAAAAAAAAAGGTCATGAAGAACCTAGGGGCAAAACGGGAATAAAGACACAGACCTACTAGAGAATGGACTTGAGGATACGGGGAGGGGGAAGGGTAAGCTGGGACAAAGTGAGAGAGTGACATGGACATATACACTACCAAACATAAAATAGATAGCTCGTGGGAAGCAGCCACATAGCACAGGGAGATCAGCTCGGTGCTTTGTGACCACCTGGAGGGGTGGGATAGGGAGGGTGAGAGGGAGGGAGACACAAGAGGGAAGAGATATGGGGACATATGTATATGTATAACTGATTCACTTTGTTATAAAGCAGAAACTAACACACCATTGTAAAGCAATTATACTCCAGTAAAGATGTTAAAAAGAAAAGAAGAAGGAAATAAATAGGGTGGTATGATCCAAGATAGCTGGGGGTGGGGGTATCAGGTGTACTCTTTTATATTGAATGGACAAGGAAGATCCTTCTGGAGAAGGGAAATTTAAGCTGAGATAT